CTGTCCAAACAGCCAGACAATGAATCGCTGCTCCCGTAACATAAGAGGGAAGAATACAGCGTTTGCGACATGGGAAATCAGCCACACGTACAAAATCGGAATTTCCTTGCCAGAGATGTAATACGAAAGGTTTCTCCTAATGCCCAGGCGAAATATGGCACTCCTAAATACTGGTACGGCGGCAGACAGGTTCCCATAGGTGTTGAAGACTTTCCGCGGCATAATCTATGGGGATCTGCGTGACAAAGACTAATCCGCGATTCGCCCGCGTGCAAAATGTGTCGATGCGCATGCTAATTACGTTTTTTTAGGTCTTACGGTGGCCGAAAATAGACAAACTGCTATAACCAAAAATAGCCTTTGGAAGGTCTCCACGAAGTGTCGTTCTGTAATACACTGAAATCCTGTGCTTCAATCTACAGGCTGAATGGCAGCTTAGAAGAAAAAGCGGCGCACCCATCGCTGGCTCGGCGACATACTACCAGTGGTCTGACCGTTTCCTGAAGCCGCTCACTGGACCACTGCAACGCGCCCACTAAAAGGGTTCTGCTTGGTGCTCATTTAACAAGCAGTCAGATTGACAGGGCGCAGCGTCCAAGTGGACACCTGTCCCATACAATTAGCGCGAAGAAGGCCTTTGACGAGCAGATTTGTCACGCAGCATCGTTTCCCTAAGGTAGGCTTTTTTCTAATCAAAATATCCATTATTACGGGCAACACTTCGACTTTATTAGCCCCGAAATCAGCGCACGTGACTCAAAAGAAGCATGGGAAAGCAAGAAGCGGGCAAGTGGCAATAATGGGTGGCAAACGACTGATACGAACAATATGAAACAGTATTGTCGCGTGCTCGCTCCAATAACTGGTGGAAAAATGGGTCTGGCGTTGCAACAATCCATCCCGCCCGACAAGCTTCTTCTACACACAAGGAACAAGAACTCATAGATACCACTCACGCCTAACTCCACTTGATTAGGCCTCTCAAGTAGCCGTCGTCTGACATCGCTACCGCTGTTCCATAGAAGATGCAGACTTCAATGATGCGGTCGTGCCTCCATTAACCCAGATCAAGAAGGTCTTGTCGTTAGTGTGGGTAAAGATTTCGCGTCCTGGCAAAAAAATGCCCTCAAAAGAGCGCTTATGATACCCCAAATAACAAGAGTCATAAATATTCACCTGATATACACCTGCCTACATACCTTGGGGCCAGAAATTGCATGCATTCTGGAGGCTGGAGGTGCGATTGACCTCTTTGAACAGGAATGTGGTTCCTAGCAATTGCAACCTCGTAATCCCTGCGTGCTTCCACTTTGCTCATTCTCATCGGAAGAGATTAGATACTTGCCTTTCAAGTCACTTCGTCGCGCCAGCTTTAGAAGAAGCCTCACAGGAAAGCTTTCTGACTTCTTTTCCAATCTCCAGATACGTTATCCTGGAAGGCACCAGTCAAGAGGAATTCCACATGGGGAACTAGGAACCATTGACAGTGTGATGTCCGGCGCAATCAGTCGGGGGCGGGTGCCACAAGGGTGAAAGAGGAGTACGCGGTCTTTAAATTGTCTTCAGCCTGAGCGCCGACTTATCGATTGCACATACTGCGTGCAAAATGCGGCATGAGCGTGGCGCATTTCACGATTCCTGACACCGTCCCGACCCACTGCGACGACATCAACTATCGATATCTATGCCAATAAGAGCACAGCTCAGGAGCAGGGTATAAAAAGTACCTGAGTCAAGCATGGATTGAAAGGATAGCCAGCAAGTGATCGCCCACATCGAATACGGGTGGATTTGATGTACTTCCCTTTGGGATCCAATGGAGGGAACTGATTCGTTTTGCCTTCTCCTAGGTCAACAGGAGGTTGTTTCTGGCTCGGAGAGAATCCGTGGTAATCTTCTATGATTTTGTCGAACAGCGGTGCGAAAGTCTAAAATACGGTAATAATGAAGCTCTCTCAGAAATATTCAGAAGAAAAGAAGGAAATTGGTCTCACCTTGTAAGACTCCGCATCTGGCGCGTAGACTCCGACACCAGCGTCCAAGTTGTAGATACCTGGAAAGTGTGCAATTCTTCCGAGATAATATCGTTGATTTTCTTCAGGAGTCGGGAGGGAAGGGAAGAGGGAGTGGGTGGGGCATAGCGAGGCTGGACCAAGCCCCTCTTGGTGGAAGGAACATGATTATAGCGTGAACTAACAGGGCTCACCGCTCACGTCGCGCGCATGTAGTCGCGAAGCAATGTTAAAGTTGCTCTACTGTATCCACAGTTGTCCTTGGAGCAAGAGGATTTGCTCTAGTTCGTGGCGCGTTCTTCAGAGTAGCAACATGATGGAGCCCATTTGAAAATACGATCGAGCCATGGCAACACAACTCGTACGCAAAAACACGCCCACTACCGCTGCGACTCCTGATAGAATCGCCACATACCCCTTCATGGTTGTATAGTGCTCTCTAGAGCTAGCCCTGCTGAGGAAGAAGACATTTATTTCCTTCGACAGAGCGCAGTATTTGCTAAACCCTGGCGAACAGTCTCACAGAGCAGACATAACTGCACTGAATCATGCTCCCACCCCGTCGGAAACACGATGCCTTCCATCAAAATTCGTTACAGAGGGGCCAGTTAGGGGTCCCTACCACAAATATGACATTAGTTTCTTGGGCTACGCCATGCAGCGCTCTGGGCTGAGCCTGGAAGAAAAAGAAGTGATTCACTTCCAAGCTCAACCTTAGCAAAGCGCAGCAGACCAGAGGACCCTAATTTAGCCTCACGCTAAAAAGGAATGTATATCTGTGCTCAAGGCGCTAGGAGATCACAGAAAAGTCGACTATCACGAATTACTTCAGTGAATGGCAGAACTGGCGGCATAGTTCCCTTCGATTGTGAAAACGACGCAAGCAGCTTTTACACGAAAGTTCAAGCTGAGGTTTGGCAAATTGCCAACAGTTGGTTGTGACCTTATAACGCTATAACGTCACGTCCCATTCGAAGGGAATCATTCTGCCAGTTCCGCTGTTGACTGAAATAATACGCTCTGATTCTCGACTTTTCTGTATTCTCTGCTCACCATTACCACTAACTCACCTATGAGCGTTCACTATTTGTTCAATCCTCTTTTCTCTCCTCCTCCTTCCACATAATGGGGCATAAAAGGGGCTTCTGATTGAAGCACAGTGGCGGAGGCGCAAGCGATCACCCTTCGCCGCGGTGCCGTGAAGAAACCGCGCCGCATACGCGCACGGGTGAGTTTGTACACGGAGCTACAATGGATTTGGTGAAAAAAAATGGTGGCGCCAAAAACGCTTAATTGGCGCCTCCGCAAAAGAACGGGTGTCACAATTCATGATCAGCTGCAAGGAAAAAAACCACCTTTGTAGAAATTCCTTTTCAAAGCGGTGTTTTGAATTCTGGTCCAGTTTTGGGACTGAAGGGGAGAGGGGTTGCGCTGCGGTGGAACTGCAACAAGGTTGATGGCCTTAGTTTGAGTAGTCAACCGTGCACTGAGCATTGATGTTCCATAGAGAACGGGTAAATAAACAATGCGGCTGCTCGAGACCAGCCGTAATAAGAACAAAAGGCTGCAACCTGCTGTCACTTCTATGAGCCCCTA